GGAAGGGAGCGCTCAACCCAGGACTGGGAGTGCCTTGCACACGATATCACTATACAACGAAAATAGTGACCACACCAAATGCTGGAGAGGCTGCAGAGAAACCAGATCACTCATACACCGTGGATGGGAAAGTGAAATGGGGCAGCAGCTCTGGAAAACATTCTGTCAGTTTCTGGGAATTCCCCGGTGTCCAGTGGTTAGGACTCAGAACTTTCATGGCCGGGGCCCCGGGTTCAATCCCTGATCGGGGAGCTAAGATTCTGCAAGCCACGTGGCTGCGTGGCCAAAAAAAAAAAAGTTTTGTCAGTTTCTTACAAATTTAAACATGAATTACCCGATGACTCAGCAATTGCACTCTTGCGCATTTATTGCAAAGCAATGGGTATTTATGTTCACACACGGGAATGTTTACAATAATAGTTCAGAACTGGAAACAGCCCTGATATCCTACAACAGGTGGATGATGAAACAGTGATACATCCATACCTGGGAATGCTGCTCAGCAATAAAGAAGGTACAGACTGTTACACATGCGACAACTTGGATGAATCTACAGAGACCGAGACCATAGATGGCTGGCCTGCCTGCAAATACTGCAGATGTCACTTTAATCAGAAGAGAGTTGCAAAGCCATATGACTGACGTCTTCGCATTTGAAGCTTCCCTCTCAGATATCTAGACATTTCCACAGAGTTGTGTCACAGGCCAATGCCAGGCAGGGCTGCCCGAATGGAGCCAGACAGGTGGTCGTGGTGTCTGAGCACCTGGGGCAGGAGAGGTCCTCAAGAAATCAGGGACCAGAAAACCAAAGAAAGTCGAGCCAGGATCAAGAAGTGGGAGCCTGGAGGTCAAAGATCCCCCAAAGGGAGAAATTCAGAAGTAGGAGCTGGAAAGCCACAGAGAATCAAGGTTGAGGGGAGTCTGAAGTAACATGGACTCGTGGCAGAGCCCACAGGTCCGCAGGGTCCGCTGCTGTACCGCTGGGCATCATTCCCAACGCTTCCCTCTTCGTCTGTCTCTGCCTCAGGAACATGCTAAAAGTGTCCAGTGGTTTCCAAAATGTTGACAGATTACTGTCACCTGTGCCCGTGACAGGTTTCTAGTGTGTCTTGGATTGAGTGGATAAGATGGGATTAAATTTCCAGGCAAGATATTTATGTCTGTTCCACCAGACAACACTTCTATAGGGAGCATGCATATTAATACATAGGATATATATATATGTAAACTATTGTGATATAATAAAGAAGTAACGTGTTATTATGATTTAAAAGTTCTGATGATATACAAATATGTATTGCAGAAAATGAAAAGTCTTCCATAATTCCTTTCCCCACTCCCCTGAAAATGCCAGTATTAAGAGTTTGGAATATAGTCTCCCCCAGTTTTTCCATGCATATGCTAACTGTATATGTAGACTATTATATATACTTTTTATTTTTTAAAGTGGAATTTTAAAAAATGGGGCTCCTACAGCTTTGTGAATGGTATTATTTACTTAATGGTATCTCTCATAACAAAGTTTTTTAAAAGAGATCAAATGTGAATGAACTCTGTGTAAGTAAAAGATGACCCTAAAACACTTATAGAGATTTCCCTAAAGTAAGATGGTGGCCTTGGTGTGCAGTTAAAAAACAAAACTGTGTGCACTCAAATACAGACAGAGCCATTTCTCGAGTTCCTTCTCCATGCCAGACACTGTCCTCCAGTACTTCAGAACTTCGTTTAAGACATTCATTAAATCACTTCATTTAATCAGCACCACAACTCTTTGAGGCAGGTACCAGCATTATCCTTATCAGCTAGATGTGGAAAATGATGCACAGGACATTTAGGGAGCTGCCCAAGGTCAACAACTGGTACTCGGTAGGAGATGAGAGAGGACCATGAAGAATAAGGATGGGGCAGATTCGACCCAAGACCTGCCCGTAATTCTCAGGGTAAACAGCCATGGCTGCCTACAGTGTTATAGTGCTGTAGCCCACAAGGTGTCCTCATGTGTTTTCTACCTAATCCTCCCAGCAACCCCATGGGATAGCAGATGAGGAATCAGAGAGCAGACATAACTTGCAGGTGTCAGAGCCAGATCTGAACTCTGTAACTTTGGAGCCCATTCTGTTAATTACTGCACCAAGGAAAATCATGGTGGGGGGGACAGACCACGTGGACATAGCTCCCTGGGCTGTGCACTGCTTACCCAGAGAGCAGCAGAAGCCGGAAGGAAGATGCCAGAGGGGTCAGGGAGAGCCACAGTGAGGCTCGGGGAACCTCCTAGGGGATCCCAGGGTGTCCATCATCACTGCCACAGTGCAGTCCCTGCCTGATATGATGCTTTCCCACCCTCAGGACAGGGGTCCTCGGCCAGCAGCTCAGGTCTGGAAACCCTCTCACGTGGTGACCAAGTCAGCCCATCCTCCTTCATCATCCAACTCCAACCCTGTGTCTACGCATTCCCTTTGCAGGCATCTCCCTGCCCCCATCCCCCATCCCCCTCCCCACTACCACCTACAGTCCTAAAACTATCTCAAGACAAGGAGACTGAAGTGTCACCACCTTGCTCCAAAACTAGAGAAGGCTAACCTGAGACAATAAAGAAAACGATCATAAGGCAGTCAGGAAATCAGATTTTTTTCCCTTTGATGTCATTAGGTGATTTGATCTCTGGACACGATGTTCCATTGTTGAGCTTTACAGATTTTGTGGAGGCTAAAGCTTGAAGTCATAACATTTTTGTTTCCTTCGGTACGCGGGCCTCTCACTGTTGTGGCCTCTCCCGTTGCGGAGCACAGGCTCCGGACGCGCAGGCTCAGCAGCCATGGCGGGCCCAGCCGCTCTGCGGCATGTGGGATCTTCCCGGACTGGGGCACGAACCCGTGTCCCCTGCATCGGCAGGTGGACTCTCAACCACTGCGCCACCAGGGAAGCCCTGAAGTCATAACATTTTGATAGGGAGGATCAACAGAGGAGGAATTGCAGGCCAGAACTGCTGCCGGGGAGCCGGGAGGTGTTCCTGGACTAGGGTCAAGAGAGAGTCTTCCCTGCACAAAGCAGTTGGCTAGGGTTTGTCTTCCTATTTGAGCTTTGACAACAGACAAAGACTGCAAGAGAGGACAAGATAAACTACTCGGGAGGCCTGGAGGATGAGAGTCCTGAGTTGGCATTCACTGGCTTGTCGACTTAAGAGAAACAGTATCAGCGACACATTCCCCTACTCAGAGGCATAAGCAACAGAAATGGGGTGGAGTTTAAAGCGGATCGCAGGGGGAACAACCTGGCAAAACCAGACACCCCCCGCCCCCTCCCCCAGGATGGGCAAATAAATCTCAGCAAGACATCAAGCATCCATTTCTAGGGTACTGGATCTCAGGGTGGGTAGGTGCTTCTCAACTTGTGTTCCTTGTGGGGCCTGAGGAAGATTCGGTGAGGACCGCAGGAGAAATCCTCCAGGGAGAGATGAGCCTTCCACTCTCTGGGTAACAGCAACCGGATTGGATTAAAGTAATTCTCTGAAAGTCTTTTAGATTTGGAAATAATCTGAGATCATCGTTTTTTTCATAGATTGAAACAGTGATATCAAAAGAGGTGAAATGACTTGCCCAAGGACTCACCCCAAGCCGGTAGCAGAATTTAGGCTCTGTCATGTTCTCTGACTGCTCCCCTCCCCTCCCCCACCCCACCCCAGCCCTGCATTGTGTCACACTGGTGCCTCTTTAGGAATGAGCTAAATTCAACTGGCAAGATTCAGCTTTATTTCTTTTATAGATAAACTGTTAGTGATATATCTGGAATAGAATATAAAGATGTAATGCAACACATTAAGTATTCCTTTCTGTGACTGTACAGAATGTGTAGCTAGCTTTTACAATTCTACGCATGTGAACGGTGTGGGGATGGGAGGGATGGACGTGAGACTTACCAGAGCTATAGAAAAGAAGGAGGGCTTTCCCAGTGGCCCAGTGGTTAAGAATCCGCCTGCCAATGTAGGGGACACGGGTTCGAGCCCTGGTCCGGGAAGATCCCACGTGCCGCGGAGCAACTAAGCCCGTGCGCCACAACTACTGTGCCTGTGCTCTAGAGCCTGCAAGCCACAACTACTGAAGTCCATGTGCCTAGAGCCCGTGCTCCGCAACAGGAGAAGCCACCGCAATGAGACGCCCGCGCACCGCAACGAAGAGCAGACCCCGCTCGCCGCAACTAGAGAAAGCCGGCCTGCAGCAACGAAGACCCAACGCAGCCAAAAGTAAACAAATTTAGTAAAAAAAAAAAAAAAAAAAAAAAGAAGGAGTAATCATCGGTCCCTGATATTGGTCTTTACTTGCCTGAAGGCAGGGGAATAGCATAGATGACTTACCTAAATACCTTCTTGGTTCAGTTCTTTGAAATATTTTGAAAGCGTTTATCACCATCACTTTATAAAGTGTTCTTCATAAAGCACTCTTCTTGAACAGGAAAAAAGAAAAGAGTATATTTTAACCCTGAGTTCACGCATACCTTTGGTTGTTTAATGGCCTGCTACACAAAGTAAGCCCATCATCTTCCACGTCCTTGGAAGCTTGTTAGAAATGCAGAATCTCTGGCCCCATCCCAGACCTGCTGAACCAGAAACTGCATTTTTAACAAGATCCCCAGGTGATTCACCCAAACATTAAAGTTTGAGAAGTCCTGCTCTATGCGGGTCTGCCATGAGACTGAAGAATAAGATGGAATATCTTACACTGAATCACCTTATTTTTAAAAGTGCAATATCTACTCCCAGCTGACAATTTAAAAATATCAAGATTCTGTAATAAAAAAAACCTCCAAACTTAATAACAGCTCTTTTTAGTGGATGATCCTTATAGATATTTCATAGACACACGGAATGCTGGAGTTGGAACAAACCTTGGAAACCGCTGGTCTACCCAGCATCCACCCAAATGCAGTCCCAGGCTTCCCGCGCCCCGCCCACTCGCCGCCGCGCGGTCCGGGAGCGAGTCGCGCCTCACTGACGTCAGCAGCGCGCGCCGTCGCCGCTGCAATTTGCCGGGCTTGCGAGGCTCGTGGTTCTAGCTTCTCCGCGAGACCGCCGAGCGGTATCCACCGTCGCTCAGGTCCCGAGGCCCGCGGTGTCACAGGGTCGGCGACATGTCGATGCTGGCTGAGCGTGAGTGTTGGGCTCGGAGGCCCGACCGGGCGCGAGGGTGAAGGTTCCGGGTGACGCGGCGGCCGGACCGAGTGGCGGTGGGCACCGGTCTCCGGCGCACGGTGGGCCGGGGGATGCGGGGGGCCGGAGTCCCGGACGCCCTGCTCGGCTTGCCCTGGCTGCCGCGGAGATTTCCCAGCCCAGCCGTCCCCGAAAGTTAGCTGCGGTCTGCTGGTGAGAGACTGCGAGTGCCCACTTGGGACGCTTGTTCTCACGTTCAGACCTGAGCACGCGAGTGGTGGGTTCGAATGGGGGTCCGGACACCGGTTGTGGGAACCCGGACTGGCTCTTTCACTTCTCCGGGCCTCAGCTTCCTCTGGTTAAAAAGAGGCGGTTGGGCCAGCAGAATCTCTTCAGGCAGTGAAATCCCGTTCTTGAAAGTGTATTGAATCAAGAAAAAGAAAAGCAAAGGGGTTAGAAGCATCAAACACAAGAAGTTAGCGTTTTTTAGGGGAGGCGGGGCTAATGAGTGATTATAAGTAAGACAGTGGCGGTTTTGACTTTAGTAGTTGGAATTACTAACACTCTACTATGGAAGGAATGTTGGCCTCAACGCCCCACCCTGCCACAGTTTGCCTTTGACATTTCCCATCACTTTGTGAAGTTCGTTAATTCCCTCCCTTTGGAGAGGCTGTTTAACTTCTGAACGATACCTGTAGCTAAGGCTGCCGGCCACCAGATGGCAGTCGTGCCTTGGTCCTGAAAAGCCGGCCGGTATCTTTGAAAGTGTCTGGTGAGCGAGGAGCAGAAACAACTGCTAAATTTTAACAGACCCAACAGACGCTACACAGGGATTCCATGAAATAAATGCTGTCGGCATCCTCTAAGGGGGTGGAGGAATGGGAACACAAAACGGAGTGGGTAAGGCACCATTCACATTTTACAGGGGCAGAAATTGAGGTTCAGAGGAAAATAATTCACCCCAAGGTCATTGAGGTAGAAAGTGACAAAATTGATCTAGTTATCGCTATATCTTTACGTTCTTGTCACCAGGGTCAGCAGATTTCTATTGTTTTTTAAACAGGGACTTAAAGAAAGGAGTGTGTTTTAGAGTGTGACCCTGTGGGCTCTATTTCTTCGTCTGTGTAACCAGTGTGGCTAAGATTTCTTGTGGTTTTAATATTCTTTGATGTATGCTTAGTTCAGCGTGCACTTGGGAACATTAGCCCTGGCTCTGCTATTCATTTCTGTTTCTTTCCCTGATCAGTTTCTCTGGGGCTATTAAAAACTTCTTTGATTATGTTCATTACTAGGTTGGCTTAAGTCAATGAGATGGTGAACGTGAAAATAGTTCAAAGTATGAAATGATATACAGATGTGAAGTGCCATCTGTGGACATCAGCAACTCAAGCTGCATAATTTCATGAGAATATTTTCCGTTCTCTTCCCACCATGACCCCAAAATTTCAAATCTTTGACATTAATAGTATATAATATTTTGTGTTTTTTTTAAACAATTTACTAAATTAATGTCAGTGGCATCCCTTATGATTAGATATTTGGGACTGGTGTTCTTATTTTAGAAATGAGAAAATAGAAGCATAGAAAAGTCCCAGTCTGCCATTTCACTACCTAGCAGTTATTTCCTCTGATAGTTTATAAAATTGGGATAATTCTGTAGGTACAGTTTTATAACCTACTTTTTTCCCCTAATTAATCTTAGTGAACATTTTCACTTCAGTAAGTATGCTAATTTCCTTTGTTTTCTCTTGCCATATGGACTATATTTTGTTTTCTTTCATCTTCTCCACAGTCACTTATCCCATTTTTAAAATCTAGTAGTTTGCTTTGTTTCTCAAAAACATTTTTTTATCCTGCATTTCTCTAGTTATCAAATATTATTTTATTGGTTCTCCCCTATGTAAGGTAAGAAATCTCGCTTATATAAACGTAAGAGAAGAATTTCATTTATCACTGTCACTTTTCAGTCCTTATTTAATTCAGAGTCTTAGACCCATATTTTATCAAGATACTACTTTTTTTCATAGACTCTTTTCAAGACCAGTTTTTGACACTTGCAGTTATTACATTTTCTAATCAAATGACAACACGATAGTTAATGGATTTCATTGCATTAAGATTTTATGCTGCAGTTTCTGTAACCTTGAATATGTCTTGAATAATATTTTAATAAGAATATATGAATGATATATTTTTTGAGGTCTTGAATATCTGAAAGTGTCTTGGGGCAAAGAAAAAAAAAATTCTGTCCCTGGCTCTTGGAACTCAGCACATTTTTCAGAGTAAGCTGAATCCTGGCATAAACCTTGTGGTATTAGGCCTGGCAGCTGTTGTGTGCAGGGCTGTTTATTGGGGTTACCCTGGAAGTATCCTATTAGATCTCCATGTAGGAGGAGTCCCTGCTAGAGGATGGTTACCCCCGCCCCCCGCCGTCATCCCAAGGAGTGATTGTGCAGATTCAGGGCACTCTACCCTGAGCGGAGTAGCTGCCCTACTCCGCTGGGTGAGGCTACCTGCCATTTCCCTGGGGAAGAGGAGCTGACCTCGCTGCCTCTCCAGTCTTGTGCCAGCATTAGAGTCTGCTGTATAGACGTTTGTGACATAAACTGTATGCCGTCTTTGTTGCAGAGCGTGGGTGCAGTCATTCTCAAAAATGTCTCCTTCATACAAGCCCCAGTCGGAGACCCTTGGCAGACACTACAGTAGAGACATGAACTCTGACACACACCAGGAAGCAGCCTTACAGAGAGAGAGCCTTGGTTAACAAGGCCCATCTTGTATGCTGTTCATTAGCTGAGTATTTACTAGATAAGTGGTAACGTAGTCACATGTAGCATTTTGGGGTCACCTTTTTTCTGCAAAGCACTCTAAATTGGAGCCCAGCTCATTTTTCTTTGTGAGTAGTCTTTTTCTGCCTGCATGCTTAGTAAAGGTTTACTTATTTTTGCTAGGGTGTGGATAGTTACAGGTCTCTATTGATTTTACATGCAGTACACTGAGCCTCTCTGACTGGAGGCTGTTATTTTTATACTCGTTAGGAGACTGCCACGGCGTGAGCAGCTGTTGACAGTGAGATACTCTGCTTCCATTGGTGCAGTAGGTGAATGATGATGACACCTGACCTCCAAATTCCCCGCTTGGCCAGAGTTTACTTTTGGGTTTCATATGCTTGTTTAATAAACTTTTGGAGTTCTTTCTCTCTGCCATAATTGTCCTTAAAACTATAGCGATAAACTTGAGTTTCTAATGGTCAGTTATTTATATATATTAAAAAAAAACTTGTAGGGACTCAAAGCAGTTCCTCAATTCAGTTATCTTCCTTCCTCTTTTTTTTATCTTTCCCCTTTTCTTGTCTCCTTTCTTCAGCCTCCCCTCCTTTTTCCTTTCTCAGTCATTCATACATTCATTCATGTTTTTCCTGAATGCTTGCTGTGGGCAAAGTGTTTTTCACTTCTTGCAGTGAAGCATAGGAAAGAATAAGACATGAATGTGAGCCTTAAGGAGATTATGGCATAATAGCAAACATAAGAGATGGATAGAAACAGCCATAATACAGAAGAATGTTAATTAAATGACAAAAAAAAGCAGCAGGTAATTTACTGTGTGAGTTCAGAAAAGGGGTCATATGGCTTTAGGGCGTTTCTGTGAGAAGGGATGATTAGTATCTGTAGGTTGCACGGAGGGTGACTCTCGTATGCTGTGAATTAAAAATAAAAGCTTTGGAGTTGGTAGGACCTTGGTTTGTATAGACTCTGTTTTTTGCTTGGGGGCATTAGGAACATTCTTTCTGTAGGCCTCAGATTTTCTCATCTGAAAAGTGCAGATCTCTCCTCATTGGGTTACTGTGAAAATTGAACCTGAGAATGTATGGATAGCATTTGGCACTTAACGTATGTCTGTGATGACTGCTGCTGGTGATAGTGACACTGGTGTCACAGGTGCCTTAGGTTGCTGCCAGTTGCTGAATTGGAAGGCCCAGCTGATGGTACCTCATGTGTTTCGATTTGTCACATTTGGGGGAATATTTTTATTTTAATCTTATAAGGTCAGTTTGTATGTTCAGAATATACAGTTATTGGGGAAACCAGGATAAATGATCCAAGCTGATACTCTCCATTGGATGCCAAATCTGCATCTGTATCTAATAAAACATAATGTTTGTTGTATTTATGCAAGTATCGTGTGTATGCATTAGGTATGTGTGTACTTGTGAGGTATTCTCCAGGTTTGAAAGATAAGTTGCTAATGAGATAATTTGTCATTTACAGGTCGGCGGAAGCAGAAGTGGGCTGTGGATCCAAGAAACACTGCGTGGAGTAATGATGACTCCAAGTTTGGCCAGAGGATGCTAGAGAAGATGGGGTGGTCTAAAGGAAAGGTATCTTGGGGAAGAGCAAAGAAATTGGAGCCAGGCAGAGAGATTTCAGATCAGGAGAATACATCTTCCTTAGGAGACTGGGAGAAATTTATTTTGGATCAATAAGTGATTTTGGAGAAATAATTAAATTATAATGACCTTGTGATGATAGAGTTAGAACTGAACATAAACGTCAGCTGTCTTTGTCTATTGTTTAACCTGCTGTGATTTTCATAAATGGTGCCTTTTAATTAGTTGCGTTTGGAATCATACTTAACCATCAGAGTTTTATGTTACTTAGAGTAAGATTTTATTCACCCTTAAAGCTAGACTACGCATTTTCTCCTTTTTCTCACATTCCCTTTATTCCTGACTCACGTAGGACTTCTGCTGATATCTCTGCACTTAAACGGTTCTTGTCAAGGTCTTTAAAGATCTTGCTAAATCCAATGGATCCTTTTTTGTTCTCACATTACTTTATCCCTTAGCAGCACTGGACATAATTGACTTGAAATACCACTGTCTTGGCTTCCACAATACTGCCCTCTCTCCCGGTTTTTCGTTCTCCGTTACCAGCCACTGCTAAATTTTTGTTGCTGGCTCTTCCTCCTCTAGACTTTTGAGCTTTGGAATTCCTTGGGGTTCAGCCCTAGTCCCTTCTCTGTCCTCATCTCAAGTAGATCATTTTTATTATAAAACTCTTGATTCCCCCCCGCCCCCCACAAATCTTTTTCTTCCCAAGTTTTCCCCATTTTTGCAAATAGCACCCTATCACCTTACTCAAACCAGAAACCTGGGAGTCGTGCTTGATTCCTTGACCTCTCTCACTTCCCGAATCCCCAGCCATTATTCCTCTCTATCCGGGGCCCCATCCTGGACCAACCACCGCCATTGCTTGCCCTGATCAACGCAGCAGCCTCTCAGCTGCCTCCCTGACTCCCTTCTTTTCCTCCTCTGGGCCATTTGCCATACAGCAGCCTTAATGAGCTTTTAAAATACAGAAATTAGATCATGTCATTCCTTTGCTTAAAAGTTTGGTGGTTTCCCATTGTTTTAAAAAATAATATCCAAATTCTCCCCATAGCTTCCAAGGTCCTTAAGGTCTGGCCCCTTTATATCACCTTATTTTCTCCATCCACTGTGCTGGAGCCACTTGGGTGCCATTTAGTACACCAGGCGCTCTGGGACTCTTTACAAATGAGGGTTAACGATGCGGGGGACTTGGGGTCCCCTTCCTCAGTGTTGTTTTGTAAAATTATTTAATGGAAAGCACCATAGACTTTAATGCCTCTGATGGGCTTCTGTTAGTTTGGCAGTAGCACTCTGCTTTTGAGCATCAGAGAAAGGATGTTCTCCTTAGTGTTTCCATGGTCCTTGAAGTGGGTCACAGGTTGCAGGCTTGGCATTCATTATTGTAAGTGCATCCTTGATATTACAGAATCTTGTAAGAATCCATTAGACTGTGTCCTCTTTGAGAACAAGGATAATGCCTCCTAGATGTTTAGTGATTAATCAAACAGTTGATGAAGGAAGAGAGGTATTTTTATACCTGATAAAAATGCTAACTCTCTTTGTGTTTAATCTCCACAGGGTTTAGGGGCTCAGGAGCAAGGAGCCACAGATCATATTAAAGTTCAAGTTAAAAATAACCACCTGGGACTAGGAGCTACGATCAATAATGAAGTGAGCAACAGCGTCTGCTGGGGGTTTTCCTTGCATAATTGATATTTTTGTCAGTGTAAAAAATTTAATCCAGTCAAATTGATTGATCAGTTTTAAGCTGTTCAAGCGTGTATCATACATGTTTTCGATAACTGAGGAGCCCATAACTAAGCTGCTGGGCATCTGTAACGTGTCATCGTTTTGCCTCATGGCCCTATGGGATTCTTTACTTGCTTATGCATAAGAGATCCAAAGTAGCTTTATTGCTGAACTTTGCAAAAAGTGTTCTTTTTAAAGAAATATTCATTTCAGGACAGAGAGGAATTTTCATCTTTACCTGCGTTGTAATATTAGCTTATATTGTTAAAATTGGTGGCATTTCATTTTGGAAATACTGAAAGAAAGTGTCTGTCCCGTTGTCTGACTGTTGGTGTATAGCACTTGAATTTATTCACATTTCCCCTTAAAACACTGACACTTTGAAAATATGACCCTGTAATTAAAAGTTCATGGCTTACCCTGCCTTTCATTTTCAGTATCATTGCTCACTGTAGAAAGGATCTAAACTGAAAGCTTTGTTCTTACATTTCTGCAGCCAACAGAATCTGGTAGGAAATCTGGGGAATTACTTTAGGTAAACTGGGTTACATTGCTTAGTTCAATAGCTCAGAGTAGTGGACTGGAGCAGCTAAAATTGTTTGGGCTAACAGCTAAAATCTTCAACCACTAAAGGAAGAGTTTAACATATACATGTTGTCAAATCATCATGTTGTACACCTAAAACTAATATAACGTTATATGTCAACTATATCTCAATACACTTGAAAAAAGGGGCAGGGGAATGTTCTATTTCTGAGGACAAAATCCAAGACCAGTACTTCAAAATGTTTGGAATGTCACACACTTACTAGATGGAATGTTTAGCAATATTGTCTATTTTCATCAATTAATAAACACACCTTGGACAATTTAAAAAAAAAGAGTTTATGTAAGGTTGATTTTGAAGGTAATTTTGAAGAGGTGGATATACAGATACACTTAACTTTTTAGGAGAAGCATTGCCCGGTAAACCTATTCAATATACCTTAACCTTAAGCATTCTTTAAAAAGTACGCATGAGGCAAGTTCCCGAATTGAAACCCTGCTCCCCACAGGTTGATATTGTTTTGGAGATGTTCATTCTCTTTTAAAGCTAGGTCGTCTTTGTTACGATGAGCTTATTAACTGAGCCCCTTATAAATGGGTGCTGATTGATTCAGGGAAGCTGGAGTCCTTCTTCCTCCCGTCCCCACTGCTGTTTTCTGAAATTGGGCTGGATGCAAGCAAGCAGAATTGGGCAAGATATTTTCAGCTCAAATGAGCAAAGAAGAGAGCCCTCAAGTCTGTCACTGCTTTTTTCCTTTGACCTACATAATTTTCCCATAGTGAGGAAAAAGATATTTTATTTTGCTTTATTTTAACATTTAGCACACAGGTTGCCTGTTGTTTCTTTGACTATAAGTTGACTTGATAAGTCACCTACATTTGAAGTCAGGGCTTAAGCTTCCAAGCTCCTCATTTTTAATAATGATATAGATAAATTACATTTCAAATTATACTATTTCTTTTTCATTCAAATTTATAAAATAATATTTTGGTGAAACATTTAAAAATTCACATTAACTACCAGATTTCCCTGATTCCAATATATATCTTATCGCAGCTTAGGTAGACTACAGGCTTGTCTCTGATTGAGTTTTTGGCATTTTCAGGACAGCTGGATTGCTCATCAGGATGATTTTAACCAGCTTCTGGCCGAACTGAACACTTGCCATGGGCAGGAAACAGCAGGTAAGGAAACTTTGCTTTTTATCCATTGGCTTGTAGAAGACGTAATCTTGATCTAAGATACTTTTATCAACTCTTTTTTACTGTAAGCATCCTATATCTGAAAGTTAATCGATTGTAGCTCTCACAAATAGTCATTTCTGTTTATGTTTTAGGGGTATTCTCATTGAATTAACCTTAGTCATAAGCAAACACTTTTTTCCCCATTACGAGTTTGAGAATGATAAGGTAAAGCTTTTATTCAGTTTACATTTCTCTGTTGCCTTTCCCTTATCCCAGCCTGACGATGTCCGGGGTCCCGCAGTTCCGGCCTTGGCCCTCTCTCATCTTTCCTTGGCCCTGGCTCTCTTCTTACGCCCTCCAGTCTCACGGGGCGATGTGTGGTGACCGCTGCCACACTTCCCTCTACTCCTTCACCCTCTCTCCTGAACGCCCTGCTCAGTGTCTGCATTCAGGGTGTCGTCGACTCCTGGCACCTAGCAGGTCCAGACTCCAGTTCTGTACCTCCCCCACCTGCACCCTGCAAACTGTTTGACACCCGTAGCCCACAGCCTGTTTTCTCCACCATCTTCCCCATTTCAGTTGATGTCAACTTCATCCTTCCAGCTGTTCCAGCCAAAGAACTTTTTCCACTAGGAAATTTTGTTGGTTCTACCTTTACAATATATTCAGACCTTGACTGCTCCATGTCACCTGCACGGTAAGCAGCATGGTCTGAGCAGCTGCTATCTCTTGTCTGGATTATTGCAGGAGCCTCTGAAGCCGGTCTTCTCAGCCATGGCACTGCTGATGTTTTGGGCTAGATAATTCTTTGCTGTGAGGCATGTCGTGCGCATTTTAGAATGATTGGCAGCATCCCTGACCTCTACCCGCAAGGTGCCACTAGCACCCCCTCCCCCTAGTTGTCGCCACCGAAAATATCTCCAGATAGTGCCAAGTGTCCCCTGGGCAGAATGCCCTGACAGGGAGCTGCTGCTCTGAATTGATCTTTCTCCGTCCACGCGCAGACTCCTCCAGCGTGTCTCAGCCCAACAGCCAGAGTGATTCTTTTAAAATGTAAGTCCGTTTGTGCTGCTCAGGATAAAAGCCGAAGCCCCTGCAGCGGACTCGCAGCCTTACACAATATGGACCCTCTCCCTTTCTGACTGTCTCCTACCCTCCCCCTTCTTACCAGTTCCATCCTGACCACACCGACTCCTGTACTGGTTTTTGAATACACCAAGCGTGCTCCTGCCTTGGGGTTTCGCACTGGCTCCTCCCTCTCTCTAGAACACTCTTCCCCCAGATAGCTTCTGTGCACCTTCTCAACAAGGTCCATACTCAGTTGCCAACTTAAAACTGCATCCTGTTCCTTAGTTCCGTTTTTGGAAGTCAATTGAAAATTGGTAAGAAATAGCAGCATGAGAATATTATTGAGAAACATGTAGTAAGGAAAATGAGAAGAACCAGCTAAGAGTGCGGGGTCAGGGGACAGGGCAGGGAGTCGCTGCACTTTTTGTTAACAGCTTTGTTGAGGTGTAATTCACATGCCTACCATTCACCCATTTACAGTGTGCAATTCAGCAGCTTTTAGTATATTCAGAGTTGTCACCAGAACCAATTATGAAACATTTCATCACCCCCCAAAGAAACTCTGTACCCAGTAGTATTCATTCCCCACTTCCCCCAGCCACCCTAGGCAACCATTGATTTACTTTCTGACTCTAAAGATTTGCCTATTCTGAAATCAAAACTGCAATGAGGTATCACCTCACACCGGTCAGAATGGCCATCATCAGAAACTCTACAAACAGTAAATGCTAGAGAGGGTGTGGAGAAAAGGCAACCCTCTTGCACTGTTGGTGGGAATGTAAATGGATACAGCCACTATGGAGAAGAGTATGGAGGTTCCTTAACAAACTAAAAATAGAACTACCATATGACCCAGCAATCCCACTACTGGGTATATATCTGAGAAAACCATAATTCAAAAAGAGTCATGTACCACAATGTTCATTGCAGCTCTATTTACAATAGCCAGGACATGGAAGCAACCTAAGTGTCCATCGACTGGTGAATGGATAAAGAAGCTGTGGTACTTATATACAATGGAATATTACTCAGCCATAAAAGGAACGAAATTGAGTTATTTGTAGTGAGGTGGATGGACCTAGAGTCTCATACAGAGTGAAGTAAGTCAGAAAGAGAAAAACAAATACCGTATGCTAACACACGTATATGGAATCTAAAAAAAAAAAAGTTTCTGAAGAAACTAGGGGCAGGACAGGAATAAAGACGCAGATGTAGAGAATGGACTTGACACGGGGAGGGGGAAGGGGAAGCTGGGACGAAGTGAGAGAGTGGCATGGACATATATACACTACCAAATGTAAAATAGATAGCTGGTGGGAAGCAGCCACATAGCACAGGGAGATCAGCTCGGTGCTTAGTGACCACCTAGAGGGGTGGGATAGGGAGACGCAAAAGGGAGGGGATATGGGGATATATGTATACGTATAGCTGATTCACTTTGTTATAAAGCAGAAAGTAACACACCATTGTAAAGCAATTATACCCCAATAAAGATGTTAAAAAAAAAAGATTTGCCTATTCTGGACATTTCATATAAATGGAATCTTGCAACATGGGTCTTTTGTGACTGGTTTCTTTCACTTAGCGTAATATTTTCAAGGTTCATCCTTGTTATAGCATGTATCAGTACTTCACTCCTTTTTATTGCCACATAATAGTCCACTGTATGGATATTCTACAGTTTGTCTGTTCATCAGTTGAAGGACATTGGGTTGTTGTCACTTTTTGTCTATCTTGAATAATGCAGCTTTGAACATTAACTTACAAGTTTTTGTGTGGACATATATTTTAATTTCTCTTGGGTTTATACTTAGAATGGAATTGCTGGGTGATACCAGCAGTGTATGAGGGTTTTAATTTTTCTGCATCTCAGCCAATACTTTCTATTATCTGTCTTTTTGATTATGGCCATGCTAGTTGGTGGGAGTGGTGTATCTAATTGTGGTTTTGATTGGCATTTCTATAATGGCTAATGATGCTCAACATCTTTTCACATGATTATTGACCATTTGTGTGTCTTCTTTGAAGAAGTATCTATTCAGATTTTTTGTGCATTTTTAAACTGTGCTATGTGTCTTTATGGTTGATGTGTAAGGATTTTTAATATATACCAGGTACAAGTCTTTTATCAGACATATGATTTGCAAATATTTTCTCCAGTTCTGTGGGTTGTCTTTTCACTTTCTTGAGGGCATTATTTGAAGACTAAGGATACAGAAATAGATAAAAAGACTCATCCCCCCTCTGAAGAAACTTCAAATCTAGTGTGAGAGAAAGAAATGAAGTAAATACCAAAATAACTAAATCTCCCAATTTTATTCAGTTCCTGAATAGTTGAGAGAGAGTAGCAAAGATAGGAGGGATTTATTTGAAAATTTATCCAAATCTCTTTGTTTCCTAAGCTTTTTCTTTCCCGTCAGGTATTCATAAGTTTGCATTATTGATGACTTTAGGTGGCTTCTAACACACAGGTTTGGATACTGAATGTGCTGTTGGGTTTAATAAAGTAGACACAGCTGAAGAAAGTGTAGACCATAGATTAGAAGGTAGTATCCGTAATGCAGGTGTGAAAGGCGAAAAGATGGAAATATGGACTAGAAGTTTAGATGGAGGATAAAGTGAGAAAATCTAATATCTAATAAAAGTTCAGCAGCACAAGAAGAGAGAGAATGGAACAGAGGCAAAATTTGAGGAGATAGGGGCTTCCCTGGTGGCGCAGTGGTTGAGAATCTGCCTGCCAATGCAGGGGACACAGGTTCAATCCCTGGTCTGGGGAGATCCCACATGCCGCGGAGCAACTAAGCCCGTGTGCCACAACTACTGAGCCTGCGTACTGCAATTACTGAAGCCCGTGGGCCTAGAGCCCGTGCTCCACAACAAGAGAAGCCACCACAGTAAGGAGCTGCTCACCGCAACTAAGTGTAGCCCCCGCTCACTGCAACTAGAGAAAGCCCATGTGCAGCAGTGAAGACCCAACACAGCCAAAAATAAATAACTAAAATAAAGTTTAAAAAAAAAGAGTTCTGACTGAATGGTACTTTGAAAAAAAAATTTAAGGAGATAAGGGCTGAAGACTGTCTAGAACTGGTGATAAAGCAAATCCACAGATTAAGAAAATTGAGAGAATCCATGCAGATTACATTAAAAGTCTCTACTCGCAAATGTAATAACAGATGTGACAACATAGCATCATGGCAGAACAGCATACACACACAAAAGAGTGAGAAGATTCTTAATGCAGCCAGAGACAATATACTTATTATCTTCAAAGAAGCAACAGTTATATATGAAAGCAGAGTTCTTAACAATGGGAGCCAAAGACATTGGAGTAATATATTGAGGGAAATATAACTGGCAACCTAGACTTTTACATTCAGCAAATATATCTTTCAAGAATAAATTTTCAGACAAAAAGTTTACCATCAGTAGGCCATAAATAAAGGCAATTTCCAAGGATGCACATCCTTCAGTCAGAAGGAAAGAATACTTAAAACACTATCTGTAGTATCCCCAAACTGGCCATAACCCAGATGTCCGCCAACAATAGAACAGAAAAGTAGACTGCCACATTTGTAAATACAAAGAAATGAAGAATAAAGTACAGTTACATGTGAGAGTATAGGGCAGGGTTTGGCAGACTTTCCACAAAGGGCCAGATAGCGATATTCTGCAGACCGAAGCGTCTCTGTCACAACTGCTTGGCTGTTGGAGTATGAAAGCAGCAAGAGATGATGTATAAACAAATGGATGTGGCCATGTTCCCATAGAACTTTATTTACAAAAGTAGGTGGTGGGCCGGATTTGGTCCACAGGCTGTAGTTTGCTTCTGGTGTCGAAGACTCTCATTAACTCAATGTTGACTGAAAGAAGTGGGACACGTAACATGCAGTGTGATTCCACTTACATAGAACTTCAAATGGAATGCAGAAATA